AAAGCAAAAACAACTTAACAATTCTCAAGAAATGGAAAACTCGTCACAAAATAAAATTGAAACTTTAACTACTGAAAATGAGCATCCAATTTTACAAAAAAACCATTAAGGGATTATGCAAACCCTACGACAGATGAAATTCACTTAAGTATTCAAATCTCTGATGTAGCTGCTAACTCATTGGAACTTAAACCTGCAATAATACAAATGGTGCAAAATAGTCAGTTTAAGGGGAACACCAATTGAGGATCCAAATTTAGATCTAGCAACATTTCTAGAATTTGTGCTACATTCACATATGATTGAGTATCAAACGATGCGATTAGATTACACTTTTTTTGTTTTCCTTAAGGGATAAAATTAAGATGTGGTTAAACTCATTAGCACATGAATCTATTAAAACTTGGGGAGATATGACACAAAAATTCTTAGCTAAATACTTTCCTCTTTAAAAAACTGCTAAACCTAGAATGACATTACATCCTTCACTCAATATACTTCTTTTAATCAATATGAAGAGAAGTTAATTTATTAGGCTTGAGAATGATTTAAGGAACTCCTTAGAAAGTGTCCACATCAAGCTTTACCTGACTGGTTAATTATTCAAACTTTTTATGATGGCATAATAAGATATCTTAGATCTATAATTAATGCTGTTGTTGGAGGATCTTTAATATCAAAATTATTTGATGAAGCTCATGCCTTATTTGATGAGTTAGCCACTAATAATTTTTAATGGCCATAAAAAGGGGTAAATAAAAAAAGAATGGCCACTATTTTATCTCAAGTTGTTGGGATATCTAAGAAGTTAGATAATTATGCTATGATTTTTTCTCAAATACCTCAAGCAATAATTATGACAAATGAATTTTTCTCAATCATTAAAAACTTTACATTCAACTGTTAATAAACCTAATAACCCATATTCTAACTTTTATACTAACTTTTATAACCCACTGGAACAATTCTGATGGTGGAAATAAGCAATGGAGGAATAATCAAGCTAACCAAATAGGAAACTGGAATAATCAGGGTTGTTCTAACTATCAACCTTATCCTCCTGGATTTAATAATCAATAATTTAAGGAAAAGAAGTTGTCTATAAAAGAAGTAGTTTACAAATGGGTAAACAAATGCAAAGTCAAAGTGTTGTAATAAGAAATATTGAGAATCAACTGGGAAAAATTGCTAATGCACTTAACAATAGACCCCAAGGAACACTTCCTAGTAATATTGAAATAAATACGAATGACAAAGAAATGGAACAAGAACAAAGTAAAGTTGTTCAACATATGAGTGGATAGGAATTAACTGTTGGAATTCAAAAAGAGATTATAGTTGAGAGAGAGATTAAAGAAACTAAAAAACCTAAAGAAACTATTTTAAAAACCAAGAACAATCTGTCTCTTCAACTGAAAATGAATTAGAAAGACCACCACCTCCTTTTCCTCAAAGACTTAGACAACAAAAGATTGATCAACAATTTTCAAAATTTCTTGAGATATTTAAAAAGCTTACAATCAATATTCCATTTTCAAAAGCTTTAGAACAAATGTGAGTTATGTCGAACTTATGAAAGATATTGTTGACCTCACTTTTGGTTGAGGTCTAGAAAACTTCTTTAGTAGCCTAGGTCTAGCCATAGGACTTTCCTATTGACTAGTCTTAGAAAATTAGAAGAGGTACCCCACCATTAGAAATTCAAAACTCTTCTTG